AACTTTTTAATTTTTAAATAAATTAATTTACGTTTAGAGGAAACAGTTGCATATTATGTTCACATATCTAATCGTCTAACTCCCACCAATAGCTGAATTAACCAACAGACTTTATTTATAAATATATTTAAGATAAATAACTAAACAACATACAGCTCCAAATAAGAAAAAATTTACACTGGTTTTTTTTCGTAATTGCCGGTAGTTTGACCCAATTTTTCACTTTCGATCATGATTTTCCATTTTAATTTATTTTTTTACTCTCATTTAAAATATTTTAAATCTAGGTATTATTGTTGATTTGAATTAATTCGGTACAGTGAATTCCCGTTAAATGTTCTTACAGTTCATAAAATTAGTTTTTAATCCTGTAAAATCAACTCTAAATTGAATAAACAAAGAAGCTGTTCGGTGACATACTAATAGTTTTCTGTGGTGAGTGTAAACATCAAACGAGACACAGACGTCATGAGACACAAAGAATTTATGATTTCAATGTCTCACATTCAAATGATTCACAGAAAAAATACCAAAACACAAAAAACTTGTACAACATGATTTATAAACATGTTACTGTGTGATTACAGAACTTGATTTATTACAACAAATAAGGCTAGTTCGTTTTTTTTAAACTTGAAGGGTTTATCTTTTACTGAAACACATTTTCAAAAGTTCGCCAAATTTCTCTTCACTTAAAGCTATTTTCATGCTACTTAAAACACTACAAATCAAAACAGTTCCGTTTGATTACGTCATTAAGAGATGTGACAGCTTAAAATTTGGCAAGACAGTAGTCTTGACTGCATAAGTTGGTGTGCAGTTCTAAAAACTAGAACTCTTCACTCATAAACAATTCACAAAGTGTCCTGTTTCATTAGTACTTTGATGTTTTCTATTTTGTAAAAATGACATATGACTTGCAAAAAAGAACTCCTCATCAGCTGAATAGTTTTTGGTCGCATTGCGTCATTAGTCCACATAAAATATGTAGTTACACAAGATGCATCAATTTGGAAATAGTCAACCACAAGTCATAATGCAGATAAACAGGATGTTTCTGTGTGGTAACGGCAGGTTTTATCTAGTTTGACATATGAAACAAAGGGAAAGTAAAAAAAGTTTTTATTTGTCATATATGTGACAGATTACGCCATCCAATTATTTGTATGATAAAGAATGAAACATTTTTTATTGATATTTTATATTTTATTATTGAACAATGATTTATTTGAATAGTTGACTTTGACTTTCTTTATCAACAATAATTTCAAAATGATTCTAGACACACAAATGTAATAATTATTTTTTTAGAGACAAATTCACGAAGACATTTTCATCAGACAGACATTTTGAATAATTTCAGAGAAAAAGGATGACTAAAAAAATTGCTTTTACAATTAGTTTTTTACCGTTTAAAAATGAAAAGTTTTCAAATGCGCATAATTTAAATGGCGAATTCATGTATTATCAGAAAAGCAAATATGTTTAAACATAAGCCTACTTAAAGGTGTACGGATTATCATGATTTGATTTGTATGACACACTGTCATACGACAGCTGAAGTTATCAAAAGGCAGCTGAAGAAATACATGCTTGCTCCAAATGAATCCAAGCTAGATGCTTAAAAGTTATAATTCCAGTTGTAGCTACGATATCTGCCTTTTTGATGGAGATATTGCTAGCTCAATTCGGAGTTCTATTTTGATATAGAAAATGTAGTCAGTTAATATATATTAGTGATAGTTTTATAGTATATTTTGCTTTTATAAATCTAGATTCGGTTAAATCATATACTTTTGCATTGGCCTTTTAAATACTTTCATTTTTGCAAGTTTAAAGATGATCTACGTTATTTAACTGAGGATAATCAGTCGAACCACATTATTGTTTATGTAGATGATAAAAATGACAAGTGACGCAACTTTTTTATTTACAACAGTTATGATATTTATGTAAAATGACGTAACTGTCTAAATGACTAAATTTTTTTTGGGGCAGAGTTCTGGAAGTTTGTGTTTTTTACACATTTGAAATCATCAATCAATCATTGTTAGACCAGCATTAGAAACCTGGAAGCACTGGACGGCCGTTTCGTCCTGGTATGCACATCCATGACTCCTGCTCCTCGCAGGATTGCAGCCCGGGGCCTTCGGTATTGTGCGCGAACGCCTAACCATCGGACCAATGAGCCGGCATCCAACGGTGAGTTCGCTCAAAATCCCTAGATCAAATGATTCTGGATCATATTTTAAAAATTTTCTATTAACTAAGTGAATCAAATCGAGTTTTGCATCCTGCTTGTTGATGGCTTATGTAAATCATTTTAGACTTCTAAACACAACCAAAAATATCGATTTTCTTTGAATGCATGGAAAAACTATGATATGTTTTTGAATAAGATAATATGACAATAAAAACCTTTTCACTTAAATATTTTACTGATTCCACCCAATATCAGGTTTTAAGTTGTTGATACGTTTACATAGTACTGTCAAACGATGGAAAAAAATGATAAGTCTTGCTTCATAGCTGAGATATGTTGCTTGTTAACTCCAGGATCTTCATTTATTTGCATGCTACATTCAAATATGTAGCCGTTGAAACGAAATTGATTTGCTGAAACAAGTTTCAGATGTTTATATGAGTTACTAATCTTATCTTAAGGATATCCATCAGAACTGTTGAGAAATTACCAATAACTGTAAGGAATATTGAAAACTATCAAACTGTTCGCCGAACACTTTTTCATAGACAATAATTATTTGGTAGAAATTGAAACTAATGAAAATTTTCGGTAAGAAGAAATTGACACAGCTGAAATTATATTTTGAGCTTTGCTATCCGAGGTGAGAACGAACATTTGAACCAACATCCGGTCCAACCAATTTAATAATAAGCAAACCTATATTTGGGCTATGACAAATATGGAACCTTACTCAAAAGTAAGGACCGGTTTTGAAACCAGATTCACTTTTTCTGAGACATTACTGAGAGAAAATAGAGAAATGTTTGCAGGCGTCTCACTTTATCTTTGTTTCCACTCTTCAAATTATTTTGCGGTTAGTTAAATAAGTGCATCAACGATTAGTTTGTCAAAAAATGAAATTCAATGGAAACTTTTATCAGTACTTATCAATTTTATTTTTCTGTGAGATTATTTTTACATCAGTTTCTTCAGAAGCAGCACGCATTAGAACAAGCCACTGATGTTTTGCAAACGTGTTAGTAGCCCGTGAAAGTTACATGCGCTCTTAAAGATTTCCGTTTAACTACAGATGTAACCTTCATTGGCTTCAGGAAGATCTATAACAAAGCTCTTCACAACAAGCCTTTATCTGAGTTAAGTGATAATGGGATTGGGGACAACGTACTTGTGTGTATTAAAGATCATTAGATAAGGCTTGAAAGCTATTGCACATTCCCGTGCGGTATTCACCACAGGTTCTAGAAGTCGACGGTCTATACATAGGTCTCTAACCAGATCTTTGACTTTGTTTACAGTATTCATCCATTCTAAACTTGAGTAATGTCTATATGCAGACATTCCCTGCCTAATAAAGACTGTGAACTGTTGAAAGAGATCAAAGAACCACAATTAATTCGATTCCCGGAACTGCAAAGCTGCCATGTGAAGACAGACCTGCTACACTCAACCTATTTTATTTGCATTATAGTAGGATCACCGGTGACTTAATCACAGTCTTTATAATTGCTGAAACTAAAATTTACATCTGACACGCCTTCGTTCTTCTTGCATTCCACAACACAGAATTTACGCGGATACTTTAAAAAAAGTCCACACATCCAGAACAAATTACTTGCCAGCTGACTACCGACTTTTAATTCAAACAGAAACGGATGAAACTCGTTAACCCAACACGTTGTTAAAGCTTTATCTTTCGAAGTATTCAATAAAAAGTTGAATGAACTGAGAAATCGACATTGTCAGGATTTACATAGGCTATGGAAACGCCTGTTCTTTCTAGACTAAAATTGAATTTTATTAGGTAAGACACAAAGCAGGTGTTTTTCTGTAGTTCGGACTAAAACCATTTTCGTATTATACTTACATTGATCATCAGTGATATTCATTATCTAGTCATTGAGTGTCAGTGAGATCAATATATGGATAAATATGTTTCGTTAAATTAGTTGTAAGGTTTTTGGATGATGAACGAAATCTCCATCTGCTATCAGTTTTTGTTTTCTTCTTTGCAATATACTAGTGTCAATTTATTCCATGTTCTTAGTTCAGTTTTCATAGTTATAAAATTACTATACAATTTAATTAAGCATTGGCTTACATAATCCTGTTGAGTACATAGTAATCAATTTAAACATTTTTACTTTACCGTAAGTCGGCGACAACATAACCTGTGATTTATTTCGGTCTTCTTTTTCAGTAAAATAAATATCTAATAATTGTACTTCTCAGAAAGCAACATAACCTATTACTTAGTCTGATTGGCGTATAAATGAATTTTTTGATTATTATTAGTATTATTATTATTATTTAAGATGTAAATATCTTGCCTTTTTACAAAAGCAAATATCCAGTCGCATTCAAGGTAAACACTAAAAACGCTTCCCATTTGATAAAAGTGATTTTTTTAGCATATCGATTACGATAAAAGTAATGGTAGTTGAGAAGTGCTGAACGTTGATCAGTTCCACGCTACTTAATTGCTAGGTATACTGATGCATTTTAGAACTAATTTAAATTTTATTATTTCATGGCATTGCAGAGATTAAATCTGTAGACCTCTTGGTAAGATCGTTCTATTTTCTAACAATTATTTGAAACCTACTGACTAAAGTTTCATATTCAGACTACCCGACTATAGCCGGGTGCTTTAAGTGATATTTGTCCATAGTTACTTGATATTTACCAATTATCTGAACATATATATATATATATATATATATATATATATTCATCAGATTTATAGAGAGTGAGAGATAATAATAATAATAATAATAAAACTTTTAAAAATACCCACTTCAGCACGAATAGTTTCACATTCCAGACAAGAACAGGCACGATCATGTGGCATTTCTAGTTTTAACCCTCTTTCTAGTAATAATTGAATAATTTCATGATTATTAATATGTGCAGCAAGCATTAACGGTGAAATGTCTGACGAGAATTGTGATCGTTTGCCACGATTATTTGTACCACTTGATGCACCAGACACTTTACTTTTACATTGTTTCTCCATTCGAATATACTGTGGATGATCAACAATCAATTTAACTAAATGATTTTTTTGTTGACTTATTGCATTCAGTAAAGCATCTTCAACAGCATAAAAATCTAATCTATTCACTAATAATTCCACTAAATCAAGATTTTCATTTTTCATAGCCAATAATAAAGCATTACGTCCCATGTAATCTACACAATTCACATCAAGTTTTATATCATCCAATAAATCTCGAACAACTTCCACTTCACCAAACTCAGCAGCATTCAAATAGACATATTCTTTATCTTGTAACTGAGTACCAAATACTAATCCTGATTCACAACTTAATTTCCAACCGGCAGTTGTCCATTTCTTATTTCTTCCTATTAAATGTTCTAATTGTAAAGCTGCTGTTGAAATTCCCGGTAAAGGTGTTGTGAATGGAAATAATGTAGATCGTCGCGCTAGACCAACAACTGCACCATCGTAATTCGCTGGTGTATTGATTTTGTATGGACTTTTTTTGATTATATTTTCATTCTCTACAACCATGTTTCAATCAGTTTAAAATATTTCAGCAGAATAATATCAAATAAATCCACAACATCGGTTTTTTTATAGGTGATATCCTATCATGAATTATCACAGAGAAAGAGCTAAACTGTAATTATTTTTCAGTAAGATATTGAATGTTGGAAAAGGTTGACGTTACATGCAAACTATTTTTAAAAGAATTAAACTCAGTAAGTATTCATCTTCATATCTAGAGTCATTTTAAAGAGACATGTTATTAGAGGAAAAAAGATTTACGGTCATTTCAGCCAATCAGAAAGCGACAAAGTGTAATATAAAAGAATTGTGAAGGCATAGGTTTGAATGATCAAGAATGACTGATAAAAAAAGTATAGTTATTCATCATTAATTATTTAAAATTTATATGCTTGTTTTGTTTAGTCAAAACTTTTGGACAAGTAACGGTAATAAATTTCATAAAATAAATTCAAGGGAAATGTATTCTTTGTTTAATAAAAGTGAAAGGATATATATATATATATATGTCTCTAAGGAATGTGTATGGTAAGCAGATGAAATATATTATCACAACCGTAAAAACTAAAATCCGCAATCATTGTAGACATTAATAAATTGATGGGTTGATCAATCAACAAATGAAACACTGAAAGTTTGAACATTGAATGGCATGTCAAAACCCAGTCTCTATTATTATCTATAATATATTCTACCTAAAGCCAGGTACCTAAAAGTAGATTTAACAAATAATTTCACTTTTGTCATAAAAATTTTCTATTTGAGAAATCGTCGACAACATTGACGTACACTTGTCGAGGCTTCATAATTAAACAACTCAGATAAGACAACAAAATATCTTCAGAATATTATTTTTGAACTCTAAATACTTTTCGTCACCCTAAAATTATATTTTATAATATTGATAAAAAAACATTAAACTTTACAAAATGAAAATTTAAATCTGTCTAAAAAATTTATAAACAGTAATAGAGTCTGAAATTATCTGCTTCTGGACACATATAAAACGATAATTGGATAAGTAAGCAGTTTTTGACACTATAGTTTATAAAATTTCGTTGTTGAAATCCAGACAAACAAAATACTAGCCAATTATATTTTCTTCGAATTCGACTTCAATAAGGAGAAAATGATGACGATTCTATTCTGTCTAACTGTTACCTAGTTTCGAAGTCCTGGACATACTAAAAATGTAATATGATGAATGTTTTTTAAATCATTAAAGAAACTTAAAACCTAACTAAGTTCCATTATACAGTACTTAAAGCGTTCTAAAACTCCATGAAAATTGTCAACTTTATTTTGTGATATATTATCCACATTTTATGAGTTCTGAAAATGTGGGATAGTTCTCCTGCGCTAACGATCAATTAATCAATAGTAACTTTAAACTTCGTACCTACGTACGTACATCAGTTCATGTTGCCATATCACATTAGCACAGAGATGTATTTGTCAATTCAAATCCAATAGTCGTAGAGGTAGTAAAGATATTAGCAGTAGTCAGAGACGTTAGGATTAGAAGATATCATTCAAGTAGTAGAATCTAGTGAAATAGACTTGGAAAGATAAAGCGATAAAGAATTAAAAAGTTTAGGATTTGAGAGAACACAAAGATTGAATATACCTGTGCCATTGTAAACGGTTTTGAGCCATGTCATTCAGGGTCTCTAACCATCGATTACTGACATTTCGCGGACCCCAACCAGGTGGTCGACACCTACCGACATGGCTCAGTTCACTTGTCAGTGACTTCATGGATTTCTGATATGTTCTGGTTTGGCCAACCCTAGCCTTCCTCCAGCCTACTCCTACACCACAAAACATCGCTCGTCGAGGCAGTCGATGGTCGGGCATTCGTCCCAACCACCTCAACTGATCAAGTTTCAATACTTCATCTATTTGCCTGCCATCCTTACCTAGTACTAGTTTCCTAATGGCAGCATTGCTTACTCGGTTGTCCCAGGATACACGAGCAATACTTCAAAGACATCTATGATCGAATACTAGAAACCTACGACTTCTGAGTGTAACAACTAATAAGTGGAATATTTTGTTTTAATCAAAAAATGAAAAACGTATTAGTTATTTTTGACAAAACCATTACAGTATAAAGGTATTGCTGATGTTGTTCAACCAAACCATCCAGATCACAGGAAGAAACTCTACCATAAACATCAGTTCATGTTTGTCCGTTCAACTCGACTAGGTTATTTGACAGATATTCTATTCGATACTTTATTGAATTATCAGCGGGCTTCTAGATCAACTAATTGATCAGTTTAATATCGTTTTAAACTGTGTAATTTTTTTTAATTTGTTCATGTTTTGAGGAAAAACGCATGTCTGCACGTATTCACACTGAAAATATGCCTAGTTATGTGATTTCAGAAGTTATAGCGATCAGTACGATGTGATCATTTTACGCCTTATTATATTGGTATGTGACTTGTACTTTCTTAAAACTGCCCATCTCAATCAAGGTACAAATTAAATCTAAGACACAAAATTACAGTCAAAATCATTTCAACCTCTGAAACGTAGATATTTTGTGAAGCACTTTTTACCATCTTGAACGAGAATAGCTTATCAGACCTTTTTAATTTGAATAAGTTGTTTAAGTTGTTCATCCAGAGAGAAATCTTAAATTTGCTGGCAATCGCATTCAAAATAATCGTGATAAGGCTAAAACACACAAGGTACTAACTATAAACCACAGTTTTTCTGATCATTGTAAAGACAATTATTTAACAGTTTAACATTACTAGTCAGCAAAATAAACAAATGACTATTTAACTATGAAGAACTAAATGTAACAATACTGATCATTTTAGTCGAGAACATATAATATAAATAGACTCCGATCTATTAGTTTGCAAATTATGTTTCTAAAATTTTGATTTTCTATGAAGTACTCACAAAAGAACAAACAATGTATAGTTTTAGCATATCACTGTAACATTTTTGACCGATATGAGGACAGTAGAATCTGGTTATAAAAAATAATTTAATTTATGTCTACACATCTCAAAGTTTATACAGAAATAGAAACAAAACAATCAAAATTCCACATGTTTTGACCATTGTTTGTTTGCTATGCAATAGTAAACCATTTAGTTCAAATAATTCAACTCTATTGAAATGGAATATAATTCAATTGTAGTCTATCCTCTAACATTTCTAAGACTTTCTAAAAGATTTATTAATATCAACATTATCAGGTTGAATGTAATACAAAACAAATATTTTTACAATTTTGTTGCAATATTTATAAATAAAGTCCATTTGAAGTTTTAAGAAAAAATTCATTTTCAAAATAATGATTTAAATTATTTGAATTAAGTTTGAAGTCGAATCATAAAATGGTTGATCTAATTTATATGTTTGTTAGTTTGAAGAAATAGATGGATGGGAACAGAGGCAGGTTGTTAATGAACTGTTCTTGTTGAGTTTAACTTATCGACCAACAAAATCCTAATAGCTTTTCAAGACTAGCAGTCAAAAAAAGATTTTGCAAGCAATAGTTTATCAAACTAATAAACAAGAGTCAAACAACCGTACAATTAGAAATCAAAATAATGACAAAATCGCAATTCAAACAGCCATGAAGAAAATAGATTTTATGATTATAGTCAAGCTTAAACTAGGCTGTCACAACACACATGGAAATAGTACTTCCAATATTTATCTATACAAGACAGTGATTAATACCAACTTTAACAATTTGGTAATGAAATGACTGCAGTTTGATGACCTAAAAATCTACAAAAATTAAACTTTGTTCTGATAAAATTTCTTGTTAACATACAATTTAAAGATTATTTCATTTTACATATAAAAGTCTGCTAATTTTCAAACATTCTGTGATATTATGGGGATGATGAGTAGATTTACAGTTGAGGTGAGTTGTTTTGAGTAAGAAATAAAATTATTTTATAACATAGACTGATATCATACGAAGAACCAATAATAAATGTAGAATACTAAACAGGATTCGTAAATTTGCTTAAAGTTGATCAAAAAGTGAGGTCAACGACTATCGTTGTAAATGAAACCATAAACATATATGAGGCTCAGCTAAAATGATTGGATTTTTACCTTTAAATAGTCAATTCTTTTATGACGTTTCATAATTCTGATCATCGACTAAATGCAGGATAATCAATTTACCAAACACAACTATTATAATCGGTCAGGGAACTAAAAAAACTGAAATCGCCCTTTCTTTTTCAAAAATTTTAAAATATGTGTTTCATAATTAGAAACAATCAATAACCAATAAATAAGAATTAGTTAATCAAACAATAAAAATGTATAAACTTGATCAAGTTGACTCTAATGAGAGTGAAATCATGTAAAAGACTGTAAATATTTAAGCATTTTAATTTGATAAGACAACGTGGTTTGATAATTTTTTTCAACTATCGAAAGTTGTAAGGCAAAGAAAAAATTAACAATCATAAGTGTTTCTGAAATCCTATAGAACGGTCTTTTGTTATAAAGTAGCAACAAAAAACATTATTGAAATGAATTATTTCAAAGAGAATTAAAATGGATTTAATGAATATAGATTACACAGGTTATTCATTATCTTATTACGTAATGACAACCTAATGTGATTATCTATCAAAGATTTTTTATAGACATAGTTATTAATGGCGTATGAAAATCTTGTACTCAGTTTAATTGCTCATTAAAAAAAGTATCTTTTTTCATTACATTTTTCAGCCGATTTCATCAGTATGTCATCAGTATTTGAAAAGAGAACGAAAATCGAAAAAAAAAACAATTCCAGCCGAAAAATAATACAACGCTAGCATTTCTTCATTTCTGTTCTTTTCTAGGGTGTACATTTTTTTAGTTAAAAATTGAGTTCTTTTCATATCCATCTCCTTTACAGAATCGATCACTGTCTAATTAATCTGCTTAAAAAAAAACATCGTAAATTTATACTACTGCTCTTTTCAAATCAAAATTAACTTTTGTACTAGTTGTGTTTTATCTTTAAAAAGAAGACGGAATTCAATGAAAGCACAGTAATTACAATTATTCATATCAGGTATTAGGTATGCTAATTAAATAATAAAAAGAATAGTAAGAATGCAATAATCTATATTTCCCAATTAT